TGGGAAGGGGCAGGAACTCCTGAGCTAATTGGGAGCATGAGGGTAGGGGAGAGGGAGCTGCCAGAATGAGAGAAGAGGAGGGGAGAAGAGGAAATGGAGGAGCAGAAATATTGAGTTGGGGGAAGAATAGAGGATTGCAGGATGAGAGATACCATATCAGAGGGTGCCATTATAGGTCCAAGGAGAGATCTGGCACTAGGGAGATTTCCAGAGACCTACAAAGATGACACGAACTGACAATCCAGGCAATGGTGGAGAGGATAACCTAAATGCCCTTCCCCTATGATGAGATTGATGACTACTTTTTATGCCATCCTAGAGCCCTCATCCACTGGCTGATGGATTCAGAGGCAGACACCCACAGATATACACTGAACTGAACTCTGGAACCTAGTTGCAGAGAGAGAGGAATGAAGATCAAAGGGGTCGGTACCAGGCTGGTGAAACCCACAGAAACAGCTGGCCTGAACAAGGGGGAGCACATCGACCCCAGACTGCTGTCTGGGAGGCTAGTACGGGACTGATCCAGACCCCTGAATATGGATGTAATAAGGAGGCCTCTGCACTCTAGGGGGGCCCTGGTAGTGGATTAGTATTTTTCCCTGGTGTAAGAAGGGACTTTGAGATCCCATCCCACGTCTTGGCCAGGACAAATAGGGGAGGGTCTAGGCCCGGCCCAGGATGATGTGGTGGACTTTGGGGAGCCCCCATAGAGGGCACTACCCAACCTGGGGAGTGGAGAGTGGATGGGATGAGGGGGCAGGTAGGAGGTTGTGGGGCAAGGTTGGGGGTGAAGGGTGGGAGAGGGAGAAGGGATTGACATGTGAATAAATATTTTTTTTAAAAAGCCACAGGCTGTCTAACAACAACAACAAAAACACAAGAATACTCAGTATTTCAGTGTTTGCTGTACTGGATGTTTTCAGGACCCTCAATGCCTTCCAAGTGACTCAGCACTGGAGAAATGCAAGTCACTAGGAAGAGGCTGACTACATTCATCTTTTCTTAGGATTGGTCCAGTTGTTGGAGCAAGGGAAATTTTCTTTTGGTTTGTCAAACAAAAATTATATGAAGGTTATATTAAAAGCTCAGTTAAGGTAAATCTCATCATCTTGCCTCATTTTAACTTGCCCTCCAGTTTCATCAGTCAAGCTAATTATAGACTCTTTTCTGCAATCAGGTACCTCTTTCCTTTTAAAGAAACCATCTAAATGAGTTTTCCATCTGGTCTCAGATTTCCATCACCAAAGTCATTGCATCATAAAAGTTCAGGGCAGCAGAGCCTTAAGAGATCACCTGGCTCAGTCCCTATGTTTAGATGAAGATGTTTAAATGTTGAGAAGATAAAGCAGGGGTTCCCTCTGAAACTGTTTCCAGTACTAAGTGCAACGAGCCTGCCTTGAATTTCTCTTTTCAATACCTCCATTTTCACTTCTATTATAAGCATGCACCCTTTTTTGTGGTTCTTAAAGGTTTTTTTTTTTTTTTGCTTTAATTCCCTTGCATACTTGCAAGTGATACATGTCAATACACAGTGCTTTCAACAGAGGCAAGAAAAGAAACTACAGGGGAAAGAAACACTCATTATAAGGAGGACAGCAGATGGTGACTGAAATATACCTTCAGAGTTGGGGTCAGTAGGATAATTGAACAACTGACTGGTCAAGCCTTATCTAGAGAGACCAACCTCTTCACAGTTCCAGTCAATAGGAAGCTCAAAGGGTGATTAACTCATGGTGGCTGTACCTTCCAAATGTATTTATTTCTCTCTTCCATTCTTTCCCCTACAGGATGCTTCACACTCTTTTTACACACTTTAATTCATCACCTGAAACTGTACTCTTGATACTAATGAAGATACTGGTACCTTTTCAATGTGTTATCCTTTGAGAAGCTTCATGTTTTTCCATTCCACTAATGAAGAGAGAAAACTCCAGGTTTTGCCAGCCTAGGTAATCTGGTACACAACATCTTCCTGTGTTTTCTCTTCAGAGATTTCTTCCTGTAGTAACTTCCAATTCTAAACCAGACACATTTATTTATTTATATTTTTAGGATGTTTCAGACTAAATTTTAAATTCTTTATTCATTTTACATAACAACCACAGTTCCCCCTCCTTCCCCTCCTCCTGTTCCCTCCACCCCCCCACACTTGTATTGTCTCCCCAGAAAGGGAGTCTTCATGTGCCTGGCACATAAAGTTGAGGCAGGATCAAGCCCCCACCCCTGCAGTAAGAATGAGTAAGGCATTCATCCCACCATAGGAATGGGCTCCAAAAAAAAAAAACAGCTCATGCACTAGGAATAGATCCTGGTCTCACTGCCAGAGGTCCCCAAAACACGCTAAGCCACACAACTGTCACCCACATAAGAGTGCCTAGTTTAGTCCCATGCAGGTTATTCAGCTGTCAGTCTGGAGTCATGAGGTCACTCTAGCTCGGGTCAACTGTCTCTGTAGGTTTCCCCGTCATGACCTAGACCCCCCTCAAAAAATCCCTCCTACCTTTCTTTAACTGAACTCTCAGAGCTCGGTCCAGTGTTTGGCTGTGGATCTCTGCATCTGCTTCCATCAGTTACTGGATGGAGGTTTTAGGATGACAATTAGGGTAGTCACCAATCTGATTATAGAGGAGGGTTAGTTCGGGCATCCTTTCCACTATTGCTACGAGTCTTAGTTGGCATCATCCTTGTGGATACCTGGGAATTTCCCTAGCACCATGTTTCTCCCTAACCCCACAATGATACCCTCTATCAAGGTATCTCTTTCATTGTTCTCCTTCTTCATCCCTCCCCCAACTCATCCTTCCTGTTACTTCATCAAACTAGGCACATTTAAACAGTGCTTTCATCATAGCATACTATGTATTAAGTAAACAAAGAAGGGTAACAGGAAAATTTCCTTTCTCCTCTCCAGAAGTCTTTGTTTTAAAGATCCACATGGGTTCCAGAAAACAGCTCAATGTGTGTTTATTTCTAAGATTATCTACTTGAAACTAAAGTATTGCTTGTATCAATATACTGCAGGTAAACTCCAGATTAAAAGCCACTGTTGGGTGTCTTGATGGAGTGTTTGGCTTTACAAATTATCCCAAATTTTAGGAGCTTAAATAACACTTGGATCATCTGATAGTTTCTGTGGGTGGAGAGTCTGGGGACAATTTTATCAGGTACTCTGTCTTGGCCCTATCACAACTTGCAATCAAGGTTTTGGTTGGTGGGCAGAGAATACAGTCACATTGCAGGATTCCACTAGAGAAAAATTCATTTTTAAACTTGCTTCTTGACAGGTTCTTAGTTCCTAGTTCCTTTCAGGCTGACTGAAAGTCTCAGTTCCTATGTGGCAAGAGGCTGTCCTTAATTTCCAATATGATAGCTTTCTTCTCAAAAGCCTAATCATGGGCCTGTTGTGTATGCCATCTTAAGGATGGAATTCCACAATTACATGTGAAACAAGCCTGTTCCCTAACTTGAATTAATAAAAAAGAAAGAAAGAAAAGAAAAAAAACTCATGGAGAAGCAAAAAAGGAAAAGAAAAAGAAAACACAATCCAAGGGAATTTTGGAAAAGGAAAATCTGGGTAAATTATCAGGAACCACAAATGGAAGCATAAACAACAGAATACAAGAGATGGAAGAGAGAATTTCACGCATTGAAGATAACTTGGAGGAAATAGATTTATCGGTCAAAGAAACTTTAAATCCAACAAATCCTTAACACAAAACATGAAGGAAATCTGGGACACCATGAAAAGACCCTAAGAATAATAGGGATAGAAGAAGGAGAAGCAGTCCAACTCAAAGGCACAGAAAATGTATTAAAAATTCATAGATTATACACCAGGCTATGACCTGTGAGCTCAACTTGTGACTCCTCACTGAAGGATGTCATTTGTATACACATTGAAGTCACTGAGAAGAACTGTCACTAAAATAAAACTTTACGATATTAAACCTAACTAACTGCTGGAATCATGAAAAGCACGGCATTAATGAAGCAATCACATTTAAACAGTATTCACATAGCTTGCTTAAATAAGTGGGGTGATTTATTAAAATGTTTGTACTTTATACGTATCTTTTCAAAATACTGTATAAGTGAGATGATCAGTGCAGCCACGTGCGTTGCTACAGAACTTGGAACTCACTCACGTTCTAACGCCTCGTAACGGTTCTGAGCCTCTGTTACACACTTTCTATGATTCTAACACTAGTTCAGCTAGAAGCCCAAGCTTGTGGGTTGATCTATTGCCCACCATGGGTTTTCTGCGAAAGTCTCATCGCCGCCAACGCCACCGCTGCCCACTCCGTGTCTCAAGGGCTACGGTTGCCTATCCGTTGGTGTTTATGACACCACCCATCATCTCGCCACCATCTCAAGTGCGTCAGAACTACCACTTCGACTGCAAGACCGCTGTTAACAACCACGTCCAGCTACAACTGCATAACTCCTCTGTCTACCTGGCCATGGCCTTCTACTTTGATAGTGAAGACGTGGCTCAGAAGAACTTGGCAAGCTTCTTCCTGAACAAGTCGCACGAATGTACCGCGCAAGCTGAGATGTTCCTGGAGCTGCAAAACCAGCGTGGTGGCCGCATCTCTCTGGGCAGTATCAGGGAGGCAGACCGTAATAATTGGCTCGGCGGCCTTCAAGCCATGGAGTGTGCCCTTCAACTGGAGCTGAGCACCAACCAAAGCCTTGTGGCCCTGCACCAGCTAGCCTCTAGCAAGAGCGATGCCCATCTATGCAGCTTCCTGAAGAACCATTTTCTGACCAAGCAAGTTGAGGTCCTCAAGGAGATAAGCGGCTACGTGACCAAATTACGCCAAATGGGGTCTCCAGATGACGGCATAGCTGAATATCTATTTGGGAAACTTACCCTGGATGACAACAAAGGGAAATGAGCTGGAACTTTCTTCCCAACCCATTTTCTCCAGTCGACCAGACAGGATGCCTACATTGCATTCCAGCAATCCCTTTCCCTTTACCATTGTTTCCAATAAAGTAATTCGATTTCAGTCAAATTAAAGTGTTAAGTTTATTTATGTTTACTTCCCATTACTTTACAAGAAGAAGGACAAATCCCTTTGAGGACTACAACCAGGATTCTCATCACACACCCCTGTTCTTCCTCTTACAGCCCCAAAGGGTGGAGGGGAAAGATGATCCAAGGGCCGCAGAGACAGCCTTCATTATAAACCATGTGAGCATAGGTGGTGAGATATGATGGGGTGTGACGGGGTGAGTGGCCGGAAACCCTGGGGTCTGTGCTTGGTCTAAGCACATGGGGCACCTGGGCTCAAAGTAGGACTGAGATGGGCAGGGATTAAAATTAGCAGTGGATTTGGGGGAGAGGGGAGAAAGGGAAACTGGGAGGAGTGGAGGGAGGGGAGGCTGTGGTTGGGATGGATTATATGAGAGAAGGAAAACAAAAAAGAAAACACTCCCACCGGACAAGAGTGGACTTGCCCAGAACGGAAGGCCCACCCTGAGTCCAGACAAACCTCAACCCCTGCTCGCTTCTGCCTGAAAACCACCCAGCCCCCACCCCCAACCCCGACAACAGTGGACCAGCGCAGACTGGAAGGCCCACCCTGAGTCCGGACATACCACACCACTGTCTACACACTGACGTCTGTCCTGCAGACAGTACCCTAGCTTTGGGTGTGTATGGACACTGCTCTGCCCGACCCCAACCTGCTCCATTAACACCTGCGAGGTTCTGCCTGACCCCACACAGAAACCAGTGGACCTCCCCAGTCTGCAAGGGTCCACCCTGAATCCGGACATACCTCACCCCTATCTACACCCTGCCATCTGTCCTGCAGCTGGTGCCCTAGCCTCAAGTGAGTATGGACGCTGCAATGCTGGACCCCAACCTGCTCCATCAACACCGGTTCACTTATGCCTGACCCCACCCGGAAAGAGTGGACTTCCCAAGTCCATGAAAGTCCACCCCGAATCCAGACACACCTCACCCCTGTCTACACCCTGCCCTAGGTCCTGCAGCAATGCCCCAGCCACAGGTGAGTCTGGGTGCTGCTGATTCCCAACATCTCCGGAGCATCAACCCCTGCTCGCTTCTACCTTAACCCCCCCCCCAGGAGACAAGAGTGGACTTGCCCAGAACTGAAGGCACACCCTGAATCCGGAGATACCTCACACCTGTCTACACCCTGCCCTCTGTCCTGCAGCCAGTACCCTAGCCTCAGGTGAGTATGGAAGCTGCTCTGCCCACCTCCGAACCTGCTCCATCAACCCCTGCTCTCTTCTGCCTGATAATCCCCCAAGCCTCTCACCCCGCCCCCCACAACAGTGGACCAGCCCAGAATGGAAGGCCCAGCCTGAGTGCTGACATACCTCACCATGTCTACACCCTGCCCTCTGTCCTGCAGCCAGTACCCTAGCCTTGGGTGTGTATGGACACTGCTCTGCCCGACCCAAACCTGCTCCATCAACAACTGCTCAATTCTGCCTGACCCCACCGGAAACGATTGGACCTCTCCAGTCTGGGAGGGTCCACCCTGAATCTGGACATACCTCACCATGTCTCCAACCAGCCCTTTGTCCTGCAGCCGGTACCCTAGCCTCAGGTGTGTATGGACAGTGCTCTGCCCGACCCCCAACCTCCTCCATCAACAACTGCTCACTTCTGCCTGACCCCACCCGGAAAAGAGTGGACCTCCCCAGTCCGGGAGGGTCCACCCTGAGTCCGGACATACCTCACCCCTGTCTACAACCTGCCCTCTGTCCTGCAGCCAGTGCCCTAGCCTCGGGTGTGTATGGACGGTGCCCTGCCCGACCCCAACCAGCTCCATCAACCCCTGCTCACTTCTGCCTGACCCCACCCGGACAAGAGTGGACCTCCCCAGTCTGGGAGGGTCCACCCTGAATCCGGACATACCTCACCCCTGTCTACACCCTGCCCTCTGTTCTGCAGCCAGTGCCCTCGCCTCTAGTGAATATGGAAGGTGCTCTGCCCGACCCCCAACCTGCTCCATGGACATACCTCACAGCTATCTACACCCTGCCCTCTGTCCTGCAGCCAGTACCCTAGCCTTGGGTGTGTATGGACACTGCACGGCCTGACCCCAACCTGCTCCATCAATCCCTGCTCGCTTCTGCCTGACCCCACCCGGGCAAGAGTGGACCTCCCCAGTCCGGGAGGGTCCACCCTGAATCTGGACATACCTCACCCCTGTCTCCAACCTGCCCTCTGTCCTGCAGCCGATACCCTAGCCTCGGGTGAGTATGGACGCTGCTCTGCCCGACCCCCAACCTGCTCCATCAACCCTTGCTCGCTTCTTCCTGAAAACGCCCCCCCAACCCGACAACAGTGGACCAGCCCAGTATAGAAGGCCCACCCTGAGACCGGACATACCTCACCCCTGTCTACCTCCTGCCCTCTGACCTGCAGCCAGAGCCCGAGACTCAGGTGAGTACGGACACTGGTCTGCCCGACCCCAACCTGCTCCATCAACACCTGCTCAATTCTGCCTGACCCCACCCGGACAAGAGTGGACCTCCCCAGTCCGGGAGGGTACACCCTGAATCTGGACATAGCATAGCTCACCCCTGTCTACACCCAGCCCTCTGTCCTGCAGCCAGTGCCCTAGCCTCAGATGAGTATGGAAGCTGCTCTGCCGCCCCCCCCCCCAACCTGCTCCATCAACAACTACTACCTCCTGCCTGAAACCCCCCCGACAACAGTGGACCAGCCCAGACTGGAAGGCCCACCCTGAGTCCCGACATACCTCACCCCTGTCTACACCCTGTCCTCTGTCCTGCAGCCAGTGCCCTCGCCCCAGGTGAGTATGGACGCTGATCTGCCCACCTCCCAACATGCTCCATCAACCCCTGCTCCCTTCTGTCTGAAACACCCACTAGCACCCCACCCCCTTCCCCCGACAACAGTGGACCAGCCCAGACTGGAAGGCCCACCCTGAGTCCGGACATACTTCACCGTGTCTACACCCTGCCCTCTGTCCATGAGCTGGTGCCCTAGCCTCAGGTGTGTATGGACACTGGTCTGCCCGACCCCAACCTGCTCCATCAACAACTGCTCAATTCTGCCTGGCCCCACCCGGACAAGAGTGGACCTCCCCAGTCTGGGAGGGTCCACCCTGAATCCGGACATAGCTCACCCCTGTCTACACCCTACCCATTGTCCTGCAGCCAGTGCCCTAGCCTCAGGTGAGTATGGAAGCTGCTCTCCCCGACCCACAACCTGCTCCATCAACCTCTGCTCCCTTCTGCCTGACCTCACCAGGAAACGAGTCGACCTCCCGAGTCCCGGAAGGTCAACCCCGTATCCGGACACAACTCACCCCTGCCTACACCCTGCCCTCTATCCTGCAATGGTGCCCCAGCCTCAGGTGAGTCTGGGCACTGCTGTTTCCCAACATCTCTCATCAACCCCTTCTCACATCTGCCTGAAGCACTTGACCCCCCGGACAAGAGTGGATCTGACCAGAGCGGAAGGCCCACCCTGTGTCCGGACATACCTCACCCCTGTCTACACCCTGCTCTCTGCCCTGTGTTGGTACCCTAGCCACAGGTTAGTCTGGGTACTGCTTTGCCTGCCCCCCAACCTCCTCCATCAACACCTGCTCGCTTCTGCCTCACCCCCCTGCCCCCACCCCGGACAAGGGTGGACCTCCCCAGTCCAGGAAGGTCCACCCGGAATCCAGACATACCTCACCCCTGTCTACACCCTGCCCTCTGTCCGGTGGCGGGTGCCCTAGCCTTGGTGAGTCTGGGTGTTGTTGTTTCCCAACCTCTCCCATCAAACCCTGCTCGCATCTGCCTGAAACACCACCACCACCCGGACAAGAGTGGACCAGCCCAGACTGGAAGGCCCACCCTGAGTCCGAACATACCTCACCCCTGTCTACACCCTGCCCTCTGTCCTGCAGCCGGTGCCCTAGCCTTGGGTGTATATGGACACTACTCTGGCCAACCCCAACCTGCTCCATTAACCCCTGCTTGCTTCTGCCTGAAAACCCCCCACCACAAGGGTGGACCTGCTTAGACCGGATGGCCCACCCTGAGTCCGGACGTACCTCACCCCTGTCTACACCCTGCCCTCTGTCCTGAAGCAGTGCCCCAGCCTCAGAGGAGTGTGGACGCTGCTGTTTCCCAACCTCTCCGGAGCATCAACCCCTGCTCGCTTCTACCTGAACCCTCCCCCCACCGGACAAGAGTGGAACTGCCCAGACCGGAAGGCCCACCCTGAGTCCGGACATACCTCACCCCTGTCTACACCCTGCCCTCTTTCCAGCAGCCCTAACTTCAGCAGGTGCACAAACGTCAGGAAAGTCCACCCTGAGTCTGAACACACCCAACCCTTGTCCATCCACCACCCTCTGTGATCCCCCTGCCACCAGAAGCTGAGCCACCTGCACTCATTGGAAGAAGGCATGGCAGGAAGACAGAGTAAGAACACGCTCAACCGCAGAAAATCCTATATGACACTACCAGAATCTAGGGACTCCACACCAGAAAGGTCTGAAAATCCCAACACAGATCATGAAGAAGAGCTGGAACTCAAAAATTATCTTAGGAAGATGACAGAATCCTTTATAAAGGAAACAAAAAATCCCTAAAGAAAGAGAAGAGAAAACAAGCAAAAAATTACATGAGATGGAGGAGAAGACAAATCAAAGAATTCAAGAAGTAAACAAATCTCTCAAAGAATCTAAAGAAAGCCAAGAAAAAACAACCAAACAAATGAAGGAAACACTCAAAACAGTCCAAGGCGTGAAAGCTGAAACAGAAACAATAAAGAAAACACAGAATGAGGAGATGCTGGAAATAGAAAGGCTGGATAAATGAACAGGAACTAATGAGGTGAGTATAACCAATAGAATTCAAGAGATGGAAGAGAGAATCTCAGTTGTTGAAG